AGTCACGTGACCTCGCTGACGCAACAATATTATATGAAAACTGGTAAGTGTGGTTAATATAACGGTAGAAAACATCCCAGTAATGTTCAACTTGTCTACTGTCGATTCTTATCTTAAGAAAGCATTATATTAATGCTCAGCTAGTCCACTTTCGTCTCTAATCTTACGAAACATTCCAATATGTTCAACTAGTCCACTTTCGGTTCTTATCTCAATGCTGCTTAATAGATACTTTTATCGTAAGCTAATTATTAGGGCACATAATACAGGTAATATGAGTATTAACAATATATTCAATTAGTCCACTTTCAGTTCTTATCTTAATGGACACTTTTATCGTAAGCTAATTATTAGGGCAGATAATAAAGGCTCTAAATTCCATATTAACCCTCAAATTATTAATTAGTTTCTATACTTCCAGTAACGGTAGGGTATTTTTTTCCCCGAAAGTGGGTCAAAGGCTGCTTGGAGGGGTCACCTGTTTTAACCAATCGCACCATTATACAGTAGTGTGTTGTCTATCAGTCAGTAGATAGACACTAAAATGACGTCACATAAGGGACGCTTAACACTACAATTTGTACTGTCGTGGCGTCAGTAAAACGTGCGCATGCCACGAATCACGAGAACAATTATGTACTCTGTAGGATGCAACATTGCCTGACATATGAACTCCAAAGCAAGAATTAAAAGTACCTGTTACTCTTAATATTGGTTTTATTTATTCTTGAAACAAAACAATTTCGGGGACCCTGCGGAAGGATATCTAGTTTACGGTGTTTTTTGGCTATTACTACACTCAATACAAAACAATTATACAAAATTACTCGTTTCTATGTAAAATACATAGGAAACCCTAGAAGTTGTTAGTGGGATTAAATGTAATATTCAAAAGTATTTATGTTTACGTCGTTTTGAACCACACGTACGTTATTAGGGATCCTGTGACCCAAAAAGACCAGAAACCACAGTCAAGTTGGCGCATGAATAGTTTAGATAAATATGTTTGATAGGGTTCATATTCACTGATGATTCTAGGGTTAATTTTTTTTATTTATATAAATATCTGGAACATAATTCTACTCTATATAGTTAGCTTAATTTTGTAAAGAAGTTTTAACAATAATTTTTATGCGTATAGATTTTTCAGAAAGACAACAATTCCAGTTATCTAAATGACGAAAACTAGTTTAGTTACATAATGCGTTTTTCTAAATTCATTTCATCTAGTAACGAAACACGATTAGCCACTGACTTACTCAGGAAGTATCATAAGTCAGTGATATTGTTAGCGGAATTTGATAAATTTTCAAGAGCATAATTTTTTATTTATTTATAATTTTTTCACAAAGTTATCAAGGGCTGTCTGCGCATAGCCATCCCTAACATTAAACTGATACAGCACTAAACTTATATTACCACTTTTTTTAGCCAACCAGATTTAAAGCTTAATATCCATATGTCGTAGTTCTAGTAAAAAACATCTTATAATCACGTTTTAAACATTGGTTTTCCTTCTCTAATGTTACAAGGCTTAGTGAGATCTTCTTTTTGGTTTCTCTAATCCTCTGAGTTTGGAAGCTTTTTGGGTTTGGTTTGTTTTGAATTTCGTGCAAAGCCACACGCCCCTAATTTAGCAGTGTAAGACTATAGGGAAGGCAGCTAGTCATCACCATCCACTGCCAACTCTTGGGCTACTTTTTTACCAACGAATAATTGGATTGACTATCACATTATAACGCCCCCACGGCTGAAAGGGCGAGCATGTTTGGTGTGACGGGGATTCGAACCCGCGACCCGCAGATTGCGAGTCAAGCTCCCTAACCACTTGGCCATGCCGGGCCAGCTTTTGGGAAGATGACCATTTCCTGTCAAAAATCTCTTTGGAAAATCAAACATTCTGAAATTATTAAAGTTTGCCACCATCGTTAAAGCTATAAAACAATCGACAGACAGACTACATCATATTAACAAGCCATTGTACTGATCGGTGAACTGAAGTTGTGATGTTCTACAGTATACAAGATTTTTGAAATTAATGGTTGTTTTTTTTCGGAATTGGAACTTGTGAACATAAGCGGCATCTTATGCGCACCTGGACTAAATCCCCAGGTTTAGGTACCCTTATAGATTTAAGTATAGTTGTCGAACACTTGACCAGAATGCAGGCAGCCAATCAGCAATACCCATCGCAACAATGATTTGTCCAACCCTTCGAACCGAAAACGGGATTGTTTGTCATTTCTATAACGCACCCACAGTCGGAAACGAAGACCGTGTTTAGCGGCATTACGTCTCAAACCCCAGACCCTTAATCCACTGCCCGACACGCTAACCACTTAGCCACACACGATCAAGTCTTTTTTTTTTAATTTTATTTGTCACTATCTAACGAACGTGAGGAAGCTTTTATATGGATAATACACAGGAACTGTACAACGCATTATTATCGCGTTCTCTTTTATTAGCAGTTCTTCAAATACTAATTTAATACAACCAGGATGTTGTAAACATTTGTTTTGCAATGAATTAACATAACATCGAGTACTGCTCATGTGACAAAACAAGTTATTTGAGCCAGTGAACATTAGGCACGTTTAGGGCTTACCGTTAAAACATCGTCCATCCACTTATGTCGCTGATCAGTGTGAGCTAAAAGTGCGGTCCATTTATCCGACAATTTTTTCACTTCTCTGCGAATGCTTCGCGTTATTTCCCTCGCTTGCTCTTCGGCACTCCGATATCCTCTGCTATCAGTCTCGTAATCTTTGGCTGGAATATAATCACAAATTAACAAATCATTCTTGTAATACAAGTAAATATTTGACATTCAAGATTATCGTACAAATTACACTCTTACAGGCTTAGGCAGTAGAAATATCCATGTAATTTACTGTTGAAGTTTAAAGCAATGCTTTCATTTTTAGTTTTATGACTTTTGATTAACAAACCTACGGAAAATATAAATGATAAATTGTAGAATATAAGCTAATTTTAAATTATTATGCTAATAGTTATTTCATAGAAATACAATAATAATATTAATTTAGTTTGATTATTTAGGAATAAAATGTTGTTGTGGGCACACCTATCGGAGAGTTTGTGATTAAAGTCGGTAAAAACATTATCTACATTGAAGAGCACTATGATGCTCCAACGCTGGAGTAGACAATAAGCCAGGCTCAGGATCCGGGAATAAATATATGATTATGATTTTAGAAAAAACACATGAAATTAAAATATAGTCCAGAATCGATTATAGAAATTTGAATAATAACGCCATTTTAGAAATTTACACAGTAAATAAAAAAGCAAAACACAGAAAAATGGAAAAGTGATTTAAGTAAGAAAAACTAAAATAAACAGAAATATCTGAACAGAAACTAAGTTCGGAATTAAACCAAAACAAGAAAAGTTTGATCTTAAATGTCAACAGAAAGTGATATTTTATCGTAATTTTACAAAACAAGATGTTGTGCACAAGGAAAATTTAAAGCAAGAAATACACATCTAAATAATTTTAAAATTTTCTTGTAACTGTTTTTAATAATATAGCGAAGAAGCCACAAATCCATGGTTATGTACCTACTCTTAATCCATTTTCCTTTCTCTAATTTTCTTCATTGGCTAAGACATTAACATTCACGAGTATAGAGGTTAACCCAAGGATCAAAATATACATGATAACAAAGTAAAATAGAAATTCTTATTGTGACGTCAACTGAATGATCACTGTTTTTTTGTCCTTTTAAGATGGTTGTAGTCGGTCATGACTAGTGGTGTAATCGGGAGTAAATGGGTGTAAAGTTAGGCTACTCACTCCTCATTTGGGAAACATAACATTTACCCAATTTAAAAATTTTTACACTATCAATACTTATCATTCTACTGCCTGACCTGGACCCAAACAACCAATGAAATTAGTTTCTTTTCTTATCATTCTAGCACCAATCATGACATTTTTCAGCTGTTACAGTACTTTTCTAACAATTTTAAAGCTCTAGCTCAGTAAATAGTAATAAATAAATCAAGTTGCACCTTCAGAATCACTGGTATCTGAGAGCGGTGGTTCCTTCGCAACATACTGTCTTCCCGCCAACAAGCTACTCTCTATAACAGGGCGCTTGTCATCTAGTTGTCTCCGGAATGCACGATGTTCGTCTTGCTGTCTGAGAATGCTGGTGACGTCACCACCAAGAGCGGGTTGAGCGGCAAGTTCAGTTTCTTTCTTTATGACCCATTCGGTAAGTTCTCGCAAGGAAAGAAGTAACTGGTTCCACTGCTCTGCATTGCTCTCAAGACGGTTCCTAAAATTTCAGAAGCATCCAAATATCGTATAAGATGCCTTTTAGATTATTATATAATTTGAGGTTTTAAATGTACATTTTTCTCTACAAACTAATCATTTTGTGTGTCAAGGCTATTAAGTTTACCTAACTTACAGATTTAGTCTTTATCTCAATGTCCTCATAAGTTTTCTTTCCTTTGAAGAGATAACGGATCATTTATTTCTCTGTCAACTTTAATTACTGAAGTATTCAGCAAACTCGTTAGTTTAATTTTTAGAAATTTATTCATCCAGAAAAACAATACACGTTGCTAGGATCACCAGTGAACTTCGAGATTATAAGGTATTTCAAGGTCTATATACGAAGTGAAGTAAAAAACATTAACATGCCACAGGTTGACTCCAATGTTGTCAAGAAAAACAATACACGTTGCTAGGATCACCAGTGAACTTCGAGATTATAAGGTATTTCAAGGTCTATGTACGAAATGAAGTAAAAAACATTAACAAGCCACAGGTTGACTACAATGTTGTCAGGTTGTATTAAGATATATTTCTAAAATAAATATCAGTGCTAAATACAATAAACCCCATGATAACTTCAAAATGCTGTATAAATATTAAGTTTTTTTTATGTTTTTAATTTCCATGAAAGTTACGTTGTGCTTTTGGTTTTTATTGGGTTTTTTACAATGTTTGGAACAGAGAGAAATATATCCTAAAACATTCTAGGATTTTCATTGACTTGTATTTTACAATATTAGGAAAATATATGATTAAAATCACATTTTGGTATATAAAGAAGAAAAATATTTGAAAATGTAAAACGAGCACAGTAAAATGACTTCAATTTTCAAGCATGGAAAAAGATATAATGGTTAAAGTAGATTTTCTCTTCAATGAAATAACTTCGAATCAAAAGCCACAAAAGAAACCCAAGTTGAGTTCGAGTAGTTTCAATGAAATATACAGGTACTGGAATAACTTCTAGACAAAAGGCACAGACAAAAAACATTGTGTTCAGATTGCGTGGTTTCAATGAAATACACAGGCAATGAATGAAGTTTGAAAAAAAGGCACAGGCAAAAAACGAGTCTAGTTCGAGTGGCTTCAATAAAATACAAAGGCAACGCCTTAGTGTACCTGAGAGAGACAGTTCTGAGACGCAAAGCGTTCCAACGTTGGTTCATCTCTTCCAGTTTCCGCCGAAGCAGCAGGGCATCATCTTGGCTTTCCAAACTTTGAAGCAGTTGACCGCTTCGCTCGTTGAGAGTCAAGTGGAGGTCACGTTGACTCTCTATTTCCCGTTGAAGCTCCTGGACCAGAAGAAGAATCACAACTTTCATAACAAGCAGGAACGCTAGCTACATTAGTAAAAGCAATAATGTTTATTACTGAAACATGCAATCAAACATGGGCGTAGACAGACTGAGTTCTTGGCGCCCACATTCTTTAGAGAGAGAGATAAAATTTTACAGCTATGATTTGGCATATTTGGCAAAGTGCAAAAAAAAAAACAAATCGCGCATATGTTGGTAGATTGCTGTCATGTTGCCTATAAATAAAATCATTAACTTGGTAGATTGCTGTAATGTTGTCCATAAAGAAAATCATTAACTTGGTAGATTGCTGTCATGTTGCCTCTAAAGAAAATAATTAAATTGGCAGGTTGCTGTAATGTTGTCCATAAAGAAAATCATTAACTTGGTAGATTGCTGTCATGTTGCCTATAAAGAAAATCGTTAACTTGGTAGATTGCTGTCATGTTGCCTATAAAGAAAATCGTTAACTTGGTAGATTGCTGTCATGTTGCCTATAAAGAAAATCGTTAACTTGGTAGATTGCTGTCATGTTGCCTCTA